AGCAGTGGATCACCACTCTGATGAGTCAAAGACCTTGAAGGGGAATAACAAAAGGAATGCAGATCTAGAGAGTTCTATGCTGGCCAAGAAAATGAAGATTGAAAGTTTTCTGTTTCCTGATGAATCTGAACATGGAAATGGACGTCCTACCTCGAGTAGTGGTGCCCCTGCAGCGTCAGCAGATATAAAGCCCAAGCCTCGGGTCTCGTCAAAAATACCAAAAGAGGAAGGAGGAGCTTCAGACACGGGAAATAGCAATAGCGCAGGGGGGATGAAAAAGAGGAAACTGAGAGAAACCCATGGTTCTCGGGTGTACAGTGAGAATGAAAATCATGAACGAAAGAAAGCTCGAGTTCTGAACGAAGAAAAGGAGCCTAGTTTTTCTCAAGGCAATGGGAAGTCAGAAAAGAAACATAGAAGTCATTCGAAAAGAGAGTATGGACATGGTCAGAACTCAATCGCGGCCACCTCAAGCTCTTCTAAGATTTCCGATTCTCATAAACCAAGAAACAGCTCTCACGAAGCCAAATGTTCACCTGTTGAGTCGGTTTCTTCCTCACCTATGAGGATTTCCAACCTGGAGAAAAGTGTATCTGCGAGAAAGAAGAAAGATGAATCTTATGATGCTAACGTCTTTGGAGCAGGTAGTTTGAGAAGATTTTCAGATGGTGAAGGTGAAGATGATGGTGGAAGTGATAGATCGCAAACGCGGATGAAGGACAAACGTGGATCTCATGAGTCTTCTGTGCTTGATGTTTGGGATAATAAAGGATCTTTGAAAGCCAAAGAGCGTGCTGAACCTTCTCTCAATGCCAATTTTGAGAATGTTGGCCACAATGATTTACCGCGAAAACTGGATCATAGTCATGGTGAAGGAAAACAGTCTAGTGATCATCGACGTTGCAATGATTCCTTGGCGAAGAAGTCAGGAAAAGGTTCGTCTTCCCGGTCCAAAGACAAGAGCCAAAGCATTAGATCTGATTCACGGGATGGTCCGAGACATGTTGAAAAGAAGATATATGAGGGTAGTCCGGACAGTAGAGTGGATATGGTCGTGAGACCAAACATTCCAAAACCTCATGACGTCGAAAGAATATCAGAAAGGAGTAATAGAGCAGATTTAGCTTCTCCATCACGGCCACCATCTAGAGGTGTCCAAGGGGATTCCTCTATGCTTTCTGCTCGTAAGAAAGTCGATAAATGCGGCACATCAGCTGGGAATAACAGTGTTCAAGCTGATGATGTGGCAAAGGCAGCAGTGCAAATAAGAAGGAAAAACGAGCCATCTCCAAGTCCCTTGCGAAAGGAACTAACATCTGCGCAGGCTGCCCATACTACTTTAAAAGAAGCTAAAGACTTGAAACATACAGCTGACCGCCTCAAGGTTTTTCTCGTAATTTTTCAGTTGCAGTGTACTCTCTCTTTCCTTTTGTATTCTCTACTCATGGTCTTGCTTTTGTTGTTGTTGCTGCAGAATTCCGTATCAAACCTTGAGCACATTGAGCTTTACTTCCAGGCTTGCCTCAAGTTCCTTCATGGTGCTTTTCTTTTGGAGATGAGCAGCAACGAGGGTGCTAGACAAGGAGAGACGATGGTCCAATCTATGAAGATTTATAGTAGCACAGCACATCTTTGCGGGTAATTTAGAATTGTGAGGAAAAAGGAAAACGTCTTTCATTCTTTCGCATTTGTAAGCATTGTTAAACCTTTTTTCTTGATAGATTCTGTGCCCATGAGTATGAGAAGTCTAAAGAAATGGGAGCTGCTGCTCTGGCTTACAAATGCATGGAGGTCGCATATATGAGAGTGGTTAATTCCTCCTACACCAGTGCTAATAGATATCGAAATGAATTACAGACTTCTTTGCAAATGGTTCCTCCAGGTAAGCTAGTTGGAGATAGCCAAATTCCTGGCCATGTTTGAAATTCTTTCACGTTGTAATCTTCTTGTCACTGCCTTTTAGGTGAGTCTCCTTCTTCTTCTGCCTCGGATGTTGATAATGTGAACCATCCAGCAGTAGTAGACAGAATTGGCACATCAAGAGGCATCAATTCTCCTTTAGTTGCTGGGAACCACGTCATTTCTGCACAAAACCGCTCTAATATTCTACGGCTGCTTCAATTTGTAAGTGTATTAATGCCTCTTGCAAGATCACTTTAGCACCAGCTATACATATAGATATAAAGGTCATTAATTAAATGGTAGATGAAGGGATGTGCTTTGTTAGCTTTGCAATGTGGATAGTCTTAGACCTAGGCCAGTGTGATTAATCTCAGCTACTCTCTACTGTTTGTAGGCTCAGGACGTAAATCTGGCAATGGATGCCTCGAGGAAATCACGGGTTGCACTGTCAGCTTCTGTTGACAACATGGAGGAGGCCCAACAACAAGGAGAGGGTATTCTATCCATTAAAAGCGCCCTTGATTATAACTTCCAAGACATGGAGGGATTGATACGGTTAGTGAAGCTTGCGATGAAGGCCAATAACCGGTGATAACTAAAATGAAGCAACTTATTTGCGAAAACTGAGAAGAAGAGGCAAAATTTTGATGGTGAAAAGAATCCACAGTTGCCTTGCGGCTCTGCGTCCACCTCCATTCACAAAACGTCATTTGTTTTGGATCCCGTAATCATCTGTACAAATCCAAGAAGAGTTTCGTTGACAGAGTCTGCGTTGAAGAGGTTTCTGCTAGATCAAGCAACTTGACATTTGGTTTCTTCAGAGGCTTCTCTTATTCTACCGAGAAACAGTTCGCAAAGACAACAGTTATAACAAGCTTCTTTCCCAACTAATTTTCGGTGAACCATGTATGGATTATACAGAGCATAAAGGTGTAACTTCTGGTACTGGGTTTTCCATTTCTCGATCCCAAGACAGTATCAGGTTGTTCTCCCAGTATCAGGTCAGCATATCCTTCACCATTGATACTTCAATTACCATATCTTTTCTGATTTTACGAGCTCTGGGCTAACCTAATTCGAATGTTTTTCTGCAGATTGTAAACTATTGTCATTCTAAATAAGCCATTTAGGGTATTACAAAGAAAGGAAATAATAAGGATTACAAGAGTTTGGAGTAATAGTAGCTTTTTCTGTAGTGGTGATAGACATTTTCAGTTTTAGGAGGTAAGAAAGAGTTTCCATCTATTCATTTCCATTTTTTTAGTTTTATCTTATCTTTACTCGAAACACAATTCTGATGTTCCTTTGTTGCTCTTTCTCTTGGCAGTGTTGTCTTTTTTTGTAGATAAGAAAGTATAAGTTACAAATAGAGTTTTGCCGTCTTGCTCTGCCGGAAGAGCTTTCTCGGGGTCACCGGTAACTTCCCGATCTGATTTTCAGGTGCAGTTTTCCGGCAAAGTTTTGAAACAGGCTTTGGGTTCTCTTGTCCTTTAGCTAAAACCAATATGTTTCTTTTTGACTGAAAAATTCTCAACTCATGAGTGTATGTATTGCCTTCTCTGATTTGAATAGCCTTAATGTATAAACTGTACATTGTTCATCAAAAATGATGGAACTTATATTTGCTTATCTTAATACAAAAGACATAATTTAGGTATTTGCTTTTTTTCTTCATTGATTTCGAAACCTACAAAATTCCGTTTGTATTACATCACCAATAATCTCTGCAAGAGCAAGACCCGTCTCTAAAATGGTGAAATCTATTACAATCTCTCACAACAATCTCTCTACCAAATATCTTCGAGATCATCTTCATCACAAGATGACAATCTCCACAAATTCTTAGGTTCTTGATGATCCTCACCGGAGTTCCAGGCTTCGTCTTCATCAAACAGAACGCGATCGCCAGTTTCTCACTGTGGTAAGACAGAGCCATCTCTTTACCTTCCTCGTCAAGATCAAGTAAAACCTCCTTAGTGTCTGAAACATATCCAGCTTCTCTCAGCCTCTGCATTATCTCATCGAGCATAGCGTAAATCCTTTCGCTATCTTCTTGAGACTCGTCTCCTACAACGAACTCGTGAATCACTCCATCTACTTCAACAGAGCTGCATCCCGGAACTTTCTTGATACCTTTTACCTGTAGAAAGAATATGTAATCACTTCAGAAACTATGTTCACAGTTTGAACAAAGAGTTAAAAGAAGGAAATAGATTTGTATTGCCTCCATTTCGTGTCTGATGCGCTTAACTTCGATCCACCTCCCTGTTTTGGCATAGACGTTCGACAGAAGCACATAGGCTCCGCTATTCATGGGTTCTAGCTCGATGAGTCGCTTAAGGGCAGCTTCACAAGTCTTGATATCCCCAAGCATTCTCGATCCACTTAAGAGAGACCCCCAAATGAGAACATCAGGCTCCGTAGGCGTAGACGCAATAAACCTCTCTGCTTCTTCGATTAAACCAGCTCTTCCGTAGAGATCAACCATACATCCATAATGCTGGATAGACGGAGAGATACCAAACTTCTCAGTCATCATTGCAAAGTATGATTCCCCTTTGTCTATTAGACCTCGATGTACACAGGCACCAAGAACACCGACGAATGTCACTGAGTTCGGGTTTATGTTACTACTCGTGGTCATCTCAGTGAACAATTCGAAGCATTCTTCTGTGAGACCGTACATCGCTAAGCAACATATCATAGCACTATAAGCTTTAACGTCTTTCTTCGCTCCCAAGCGATCGAAAACCCGTTTCGCTCTCTCGATACTCCCACATTTAGCGTACATATCAATCAGAGCTGTACCTAAGACAATGTCAATCTCAACTTTGGATTTATCGATGTAAGCGTGAACCCATTTCCCTTGCTCGAGCGCACCCAATCTCCCACAAGCAGAGAGCACAGTCGACATTGTAAACTCGTTTGGTCTGACTAAAGCTTCGTTTGGTTTAGGCGATTGCATCTCTCGAAACAAATCAAGCGCTTCTCTGTTTCTCCCACACATAACGTACCCGTTTAACAAACAGCTCCACGAAATCACGTTTCTTTCAGGCATTTCGTCGAACAGTTTCCGCGCAGCATCGACCAACCCAGCTTTCGCATATGCATTGACCACAGAGTTCCACGCCGGTAAATCCTTTGAGACAGACTCATCGAAAACTCGCAGAGCTGAGCCCAAGTCGCCGCAAGAAGAATACATATTGACAAGAGAAGTCCGGACAAAAGGGTCTTTGTCAAGTCCAAAAAGAAGTATCTGAGCATGAGTTCGTTGTCCAAGAGGAAGATGAATAGGATTGTCAAAAGAAGGGAGAAGAAACGGAAAAGTATGAAAATCGGGTCTGACGCGATGGTGACGCATACGGAGGTAGACTGAGATTGGAGAATGTTGTCGAGCCGGCGAAACATTGGCACGAATGATGATGTTCCATACGAAAGACTCGAGCTTTAGCTTGCGAATATGAAAAATCGGATTTGTATAAGATATTGCATTACTCGTGATTCCCATTTTGATTATTGTTGGTTATATAGAAAACAAACAAAAAAGGTTTAAAAAAACACTAATGTTGAACCTGAGTACATAATGGCAAAAACTACCATTATTTGGGAAATTCAAAGAATGTTTTTCATATCCCAAAAAATGAACCGGCATTTACGTAAACCGGCTCATTCGTCTTTAGGGTAAAAGCGTTAGACATAACAACAAATACAGCCATTTTCTCGGTCTTATATACTACAACTGCTAACAATCATCCACCATCTCTTCCCGATGTGGGACTTTTCCCTATTTCATACCGTAAAAATTAAGCTTCGAATTCCAATGTCAATACGGTTCATGTGAACCGGCATTTAATCTGGCTCGCCGTCTGGTTCAATAATTAAGCTTTGAGATCCTGGAACATTCTGGTGGGTTTCAGGGTAAAGTCAAGGAACATTGTTGGTGTTCTTGTGTAGACTAGAGATTTGTCATGTTTCAGCTTAAAACGGAAACTGAGTTGGGTCGAGTAATACTAAAGTCTTTAAACAACAAACGCAAGACATTGGAGTTGAGATCTTTTACCAAACTAAACAAAAAATGAAAAGCCAAAAGAG